TCCTCCACACAAATAAAAAGCTAAATGAGTTTTTGGACAGTTATTAAAACACCTGCCAGCCCATCCAAGTAATGTTTCCATGTGGGAAACACTGCACACTGCAGTCCAAGAACTGCAAAAGTACTTATTACTTTCGAATGTTTCCGATATAAGCCAGGAGCCCACAGAAGACAGAACACCTGCTTGTAAAAACCTCACTCTGTGTATGTTACATGTGACCATGATAATTACTCACCAGCTGTAGCATGCTGGACACACTTTCCCATGTGGCTTCCTTTATGTTATCCCCACCATCCACCATACCCTGATATCCCTGATTACAGAGAAAAAAAAAGAATATACATTTAACATTTATGGCTAAAATTGTGGCTTTAACTAATTTAATTAGATATAAATTACATGTAATAAACATATAAATTGCCCGTGTAATTCTGTTACATAAGTACAATATGAAATGTTACATTTAACGGAATCTGGGCAAATGAAATTTACACAAGTAGTATACATTCAGTTTATTTTCCTTACTAATTATTTATTTGAATACATGACCATTTGATTTCTGTTGCAATTTCATGGTTATGAGGACAAAGAATCATCTTTCTGAGTGTTGCACGAGCTAAGCAAACAAACGCTCCAAATAACCTCTGGCTAACAGCCCAAAATACAACGCAACGACATCCTATTGTCATCATGACTTGAAATAATCAAAATATTTCCACGTAATTCAAAACCAATGAAATTTACATCGTTAACTATAAGACTTGTGCATCGTCATACTGTGCTACCTTAGCTGGGTGCAGGGTATTCATATGAGGCATCTAAAGCCTCAGTTATGTAACATCATACTGTGAGTGAGCAGAAGCCACACGTACACAGATGTGCTGGGATCACAGGATGAGCAGACAGAGCATGGCTCTTCCCAAAGCTCTTTTAACATCTGCTTCATGAAAACAAAATAAACATCCCTGTATTGATACCGGACCCCTGGCTAGTACTGTACACAAATCCAACCATTAAAGTTGGGCTTAAATGTCTTCCAAATACTTTATAGTGATTTTCCTTGAAAATGCTACTATAGTCCTAAAGATAAATTTATGGCTCACCTCATGAATGAAATAAACCTTTGCCCCCACATACAACCCCATTCGAACCACAGCACGTACAGCACCATTCATTCCTGAAAGAGAAAGAGTTAAAAGAAGAAATCTTAATCACAAAACAACTTTTTTTACAAGGTCAAACTTTAAACTATAGAGAGGGAAAACACGTGTGTCTCAACTGCACAAAATTATTGTAAAGCCCCAATTTGCATGGCTCTCCCAGGGCTTAAGCTACATGGATATTTATTTAATCTGGGTGCAGCTGTAAACCTTTATTTATTTTTTTATGAGTATTTCTATGTCCTGGATGTGGGAGATAATGTGTGGAAGCCCAGCCTTTGCGTGTTTATAGTGTCTGTGTGTCACTTGTGGAATTTTTTTGCCCCATCAGAAAGCCCTGCCATGTTTGGTCAAAAGGCTTTCTTGGCTCCTCCTACAGCTTCTCTGAGTCTGAGTGAAAATACTAACCAGTAAGACCATGCTCTGTGGTTTTAATGTCAAAGTCGGGGTTAGCTTCAACACAGATGGGATAAAAACGTAAAGCTTTACCCACAAGAAGGAGGACGGGAACTTGGCTAACTGGAAGAGTTGTAAACAAAGGGAAGAAAGGACTGGGTTTCCTTGTGAACCAAGCAATACTTTTACTCTGCAACACAAAGGCTCAGCCCACTCGGGAAGCAGAGGACACAGCAGTGTGGGAAGGGAACAAATTAGGAGAAGATCTCTGAAATGTGTTCTGCTCATGAAGCCGGCAAAGCATCCAGAATTATTAGAAAAGGACCAACAATACAACCCAGTGTATAATCCATGGCACGCTGTCCTTGTTACATAACTACAATCACAGGGGCATCAGACAGTGTGGTGAAAACAGAGGCAGAATATATGAAAAGATGTTCGCGTAGATATCTCAGCTGAAGGTTTCAAAGTCTCTATCAAAGCAGAACATCTCTTCTTCTGCGTGACTGACTCTTTCTCCTGCTGACTGACTGAAAGCACTCAGCCAAGGCTACACAATGTACTCTGACACTGATGCACGGTCTCAGTTAGCATGCTGCAGACTCACTGCTTAACTCTGGGGCCAGCGCTGCGTGTTTGTTCTGCAATTAAGTGGATCAATTCACTGCTTCTGAATCACCACATTCACTCTTTGAGCTCCTGAAGGATGGAGGTTACACTATAGAACACCTGGTATAATTAATAATAATACATTATTAATAATTGTTCACAAATGCACTTACATAACCACAACAGGTGGTTTCTGAGAAAAGGTCAACATTTGTCTAAATGTCATTTTCAAAAGGTATTGAAAATGCTAAAAGTGGACACAACTTTGATCTGACCATGGCTTCTCAGGGTAATATTGGAAGAATATCTGGATCAATAAGCCAAAAAAAAAGTGCTTTCTGACTATTTTTAAAGCAGGATAAAGAAGTTTTTTCCCCACAAAGATACAAAGCTTCTTGCTATTTTTGTCAAATTACAATTTACAGTTGGTTTGTTAATAACTTTCCATGCAGCATGAAAACAATAAGAAGAAAAAGTGTTTTAAAATATCCATATTTATTCATGTTTTGCTCATATTCCACTTTCTACAGCTTGAAAGATATCAGGATGGATTCACTCTCTCTTTATGTTTCCTCTACTACACTGGTCACGTGTAGGCCTAACAATACGTTACATAACTGGTAAAAATAACCACATCCTGTCTTTAAATAAAATCATAAAATTTCGACTTTTATTGTTTAATTATAAGATGATGTAACTCATTCGGATCAGCCGGCTGCCATTACAATGTGGCGTTACACGGCAGTAGTAGATGTACATGTGCTTAAGCGAAATTACTGGATGAGCCGGTGAGCACATGACCCGGGTTTCCTCTGTGACGTATAGTCGACTGGAAGAGACGTATATGAGTTATATGCTGCTCATCACGTACACAGGATGCCGGCATCTCACAACCGCTGGCCTCCACTGTGCTAATAAAAATCCAAAGTCTCTAGTCTCGCTAAAAATGAACACGACAGAAACGCTGTGTAAGAATTTCCAACCTATGCGCCAGTGGCCTACACATCCACCAGAACCAGCTTTTAATGGTTACACAACACAGCGCCCTGCACTCGTGCGTATCTGGCTTCTGCACAACCTAAATTGATTGGGAATCTGCGCTAATTAAAGGCTAACACAAGCCCGTCAGTTATAATGCAATAATAAACTGTGAGGAGGAAAGCAAACCGCGCGGCTCGACCTTGACGCATCTGTCTGAACCGCTGGGTAATGTCACACATGCCTCTGAATCAATGACAGGATGATGCTGTTAGCGACTTATTAGGATGCGCGGTGTTAGCATGCCGGCTAACCGTGTAAATAGCACATAACATCACAGCCTTACTGTACCACCCCGCCCCACCGCGTTTTTAAATAAAAGGCAGGCCGACTTGACAGGCAGTTCACTATGACACGGCTGTGTATCTTCGCCCTCTCCGGGCCTTTCCTCACTGATACGATGCTTCACACAAGTATCCACAAAAAGTGTAACTATATACTCTACCTTGAGCATCCCCTCCGCTCGTCAGCACCGCAATGGCTTTGCCCGCTCCCGACAGGTTCTCAAAAAATATCTTCTTACTGTCCGGCTGCGCCATTTTCACTGCAACTCACTATATAAATATAAATAAATATGTGTTTCCTGGCACAAGCCGATAAAATAGAACACCGACAGTACGGAACTGTGCTAAAATGATGAAGGGCAACAATCTATGCCCTCTGCCTATGTACAGTATGCCCGCTTTGGTCTCCTTCTCCTGCCTGTTCCGTATCTGGTCGCTGATTTGCATAGGCCGAGCGTTATTGACAGAAGCTCGGGCCAATCAAATCATAGTTCCAGCAGCATCCGTTCGCTTGCAAACTAATAAGAGATGTGTGGGCGGGTCTATCATTAGAGGATGCCGGCGAGGTTTCAGTGAACCTTAGTGAGGAGGAAGCAACAAGTTGCGAAAGTTACACACAGAAACACCTGAATTATACAGGGTAAAGACGAATAAATCTATTATTTTTTAAATTAATACTATGAGTAGTAATAGCAGTAGAAGTATTTTTATTTCTATTTCTAGGCCTAGGTGTTTTTATTGCAGTAACTGGTTTGCTCCATAATCAACATTTTGGTAATCCTTCAATATGTGTTTCAACTGTGTACGTTTTATAGTATTCTAAATCTATATTCTTTCACTGTTGCTGATGCATTTGCCCAACTGTGTAAGGTAAAACAAACCTTCCACAGATGCACTTATGCCATTCTTCGTAAAATGCATCGATTACGGCCCAGGCTGACTCTTTTGTGAAGTGTATTCTTGTGTGGTGATCACTGCTTAAATATCATATTTACATTTGCATCACTGAAACTGTGCGCTTTCCTTCAGGCCGAAATCCTTTTACATTGGAGCTATGACTTCCGTTCAAGGTCGTTTTTTATGAGCCATTGATTTTTGCTACTACCTTTATGTGTATGGGACTCCTAACACTACACAGAGTAAGGTGGCGTTGACTATTTAATATTTTTCACAGATAAACACAAGAATGTAAAACTATGAAACACGCAATGAGGAAGGTTCCACTTTGGATCGTTGTCTCCATCATGTGGCCTTAAGGCCAAACTACAAGTGGAAAGACATTGAATTGTATTTTTCCCGTATTTGTTGAAGACCATTGCTATAAAACGGAAGTAGCTACTGTGCATGCTCTGTATTGGTCTCAAACAAAAAGTGTGAGTAAAGGTCTGTTTAGTAACATATAACATCAAAATCTGAGTCATCAGCCGAAAGAAAAACAATCAGTCATTTTGAATTATTCTCATCACACAGCAGACACCGCTGAACGACCTAATTAAATTATAGCCTACTTTGCAGTATGATTTAGAATAAGCAAATAAGGCTACTGTGCTTTTAGTCCAGAGTCACCCTATTATCAGAAGAACTGTTTTTCCTGCAAACTCAAAATCGATTCAGAAGAAAATAACATACTGATATGCATGAATGACAGCCCTTAAGCTTCAGGAGCTACATCCAATGACATATAAAGTGATGCTACTAGTGACATCACTGATAGTTGTGCACCTTCTTGCCTCACATGTGTCCCCCCAGTCCCCTTAGACACTCCTACAGCTTCCCTGGAGAAGACGCTGTTTGTTTTTGTGTTAGTTCCAGTCAGTTATGAGAACTGTCTCAATTTGATCACACTCAGTGTCCTGAAAAGTCAAATAAAAGTAAAGAAAATACTGAGTTAAATAGTCTTTAGATAGAAAAAACCCATTTAGTTTATTAAACTTAAATTGCATCTGCAGGTATATTCAAACAAATCCAGCATAGTGTTAGTTCAGACAAGCCACAAAGCCAAACTCAGATGCAATCTCTCCTGATCAGCTCATCTCAGTGCCAGTGTACATTACCTGATACCCATCTACACATCCAATTTGCAAATTTCATGTAAAGCACTCTATTTAAGCTGCTGCACATCTGCAAGCCACTTAGCAACCCACCTCCATTCCAGCCCCTCCTTTCATGCTACATCATGAAAGGAAGGGCTCACTTCCAAAATCCTTGGGGAGCATTACATAACTCATTAACACTAAAATAAATCAAAAACAGCACAAACTAACCCTTTATAGCTGATGTGCCCAAAATCATGCATAACTCTGAGACTAAACACAGTCTTGTGTGATGACTGGCAAAAGTCTAATTGGCCATTCAAGGAACAGCACATTTTGGAACTGTCAGTTTCATTTACAAGTGAGCTGAAAACCAAAAGGGTGCTCCCGTGGAACTGCAGATCAGTGACTTTAAGTATAGAGAAAGTCTCTAGGCATCAATTATGCATCTGAGTAGTCGTTCTGTTAGGTCTCATCATGGCATAATCGCCAAACACATATTATTTGTGCTAAAAATACCATCTGTACATGTTACAGTAAAAGTATCCCAGTGAAAAAACACAAATAACAAGCTCTCACTTTTCTCATTTATCTTCCTTTTTTTTTTATCTTCGAGTGGAGGGAATTGCTTCCTTTACATTAACAAGCCTCTCTGCCCTCAGGCACTTACAGCCATCATATGGTCTCACTCCACGTGCTGTCGAGACAACTTTGGTGGAAACTGTTGAGATGACTGCCAGCTGGAGGCCCGATGTGGATCTTTTATCTGAACTCATCATTCTTTGCCGTCAGCTTTTTGCTTCACATAACAACGAAAGCTCTGTATCCGTCAAATGATGTCATCTGCTACAGGATTGGTTTATCGTCAGGCCTCAGCTGTAGCATGAAGCAGACGACAACAAAGAGCTTAACTTGTGTGACAAATAAGTGCAACTCTTACACACAACAAATGTTGTCGTTTTCATTTCTCCAGCACATCATATTGCTGCCAAATTGCCATCGGTGTTTTTCTCACCGTACCTGTATAATAAATACATGTGCGGACTTAAGTTACTCACTCCCACAGGAAAACCGGGGCTGTCCATTAAAGTCTGTTAGCTTCATCCCAGAAGCACGTAAGCGAATTGATAGTGAATGGAAAGAGAATGGTTGAGTAAACTGAGCCGAAGAGACATAAATGTGTCCACATCTGGTTTGTCAGAGGCACCCTGGAAGTAAAACTCCTCAGACTGTAGGAAAAGGCTGCTTTTAAAACGTCACTGCAAGTGTTGGGAGACGGGACTTGTAGAAAAGCAAGAGAAATGAAAGAATTGAAAGAAGTTGGATTTTTCATTTTTCTTTGTAAAATGTAGAATTTTACATCTATTTGTAGTTTCTTGTGTTTTCTTATCATTGTTGCGTAGCAGCCATTGCCGAGGTGTTTTTCCTCTGGGGTGTTACACTTCTGTGTATTCTGTGCTGAAAAAGCGATTCTTGTATTACCAGTTCATTTTCTACTTCCAAGAGCAGCAACCAGACACCGGGGGGTTACGACACCAAAGAGGAAGTTGCGGTTAACCACAGATTTACTCTTGATTGACTTATTTATTTCCTGCATGGGCACGGGGAGAGAGAGCCAAGAGACATTTTTATTTTTACATATTAATAAACATAACACAGAAATGTAAAAATGTGCTATTTATTTGGGTGTGGAACACAGAGATGTTTAAAAACTAAATTCATAAACAAGAAATTGTCTGAAACATGACACGCTAATGATCTTGGCCCAATTAAACTTGATGGTAACATGTTATGCTCAGAATGATAAGATAAGATAACAAGTCAAGAACTCAGTCTATAATCTAATTCGATACAATAGTGAGATACATGTAACGTAAATACAGGTATTGTGTTTTGAGGTCAATTTTGTTTTGTACCTGTCCTTGTGTTGGAGTTCAAACAGATGTTAGAGAAAGTGTTCAGCTCTGGATCCATTAATTATCCACATCCATTCAGCTCAGCCCAGTCATTTTATTGACTTCTGCATCAGCTGATAGAGGAATTTTACAGTGTGTTGATTCAGACAGGTTCAGTGACACACTGCCTCACTGAGTAATATGGATGCTTTTCATCAGCTAGCACTACAGTATTCAGGCCAAAGAAGGGTTCCTTGCACTAACAGGTTCAAGAAGACATCACTTTTCAGTCACAACTAATGCTGATCCTCCACATTTCTTCTTGCTGATCAGATTATAGCTCGTATAACTGAAGAATTTCTAAGTCGCTGAAAACCAGGCAGACACCTACAGCTGGAAAATGCCCACCAGCTGCAAGTGGCCACTTTAGATTGGCAGCCATGCTACATGGTACAAAAAGCAGTTGCTGTAGAGTCGATGTAGACTGTTACACACACAAGCACATAGTGTACCCTTAAAGCCTTAAAGCAAATGTTCCCACCCACATGCTTGAATATGTGGAATGATTTCGTTGGTTATACTCAGAATTCCTCTTCTTCCAAACATGGTGGGTCGAGTTACTGGCACAAAGCTCAACTTTAGTTTCCTCTGATCACAGCAATTTCTCTGAGTCATTTTAAAGTTCACTGGAAAACTTAAGGCAGGCCTGTACATGTGCCTTATTGAGCAGGGGAATTTGTTATGACATAGCGTTACCATGATCCCAACTGCCTTCCCAGGCTCCTCCCATGTAGTTTTGGGCTGATCCACTAGCTTTCCTAAGCTCATCCTCACCCCAGGAGGCAATTGAGGCGACTGATGCTCATTTCTTTCATTTCTGAATAATTGCACCAGCAGTTGTCGCCTTCTCCCCAAGCCTCTTGCAGTCTTGTAACTTCTATATTTACATTTATAACATATAAATGTAAATAAATTGAAATAAATGTTATATATTTATTATATATAACATTTATTTGTTATTTATAAATATAAATAAACATTTATTTGTTATATATTTATAACATTTCTCAGAATTTTTGGATGATATTCTGTTTCTCATTATTAGCATAAAGCTACCATAAACATTACACACAGTACGTGGTGTCATCTTCAGGTGACCATGAATCTCACTTTGACAAATCACTGTGAAATGTCTACTGGTGTCTGAGATGTTTCCAGTCTAGACCAATTAAAATGTGCAATAATATACAATTTAACGGGACTATCCGGTAATCCCCCCCCCAGCAGAGGTCACTCATGACACCACTACACCTTCTCAGCAGTCGTCTGTCCCTCACACAGAAACTCACTCTCTGTCAAATTACATTTCCTCCTTGTAATTTTACACCACAAAACTCATCCCTTATTGCCACACGGATCCCCAGGGAAATCCAGTGCCAATTTAGAGCAGGTTTGTGCAATATAGGCTCGCATTGATTGTTTGTATATTGGCTGCAGG